AGCAGTACACACAGAACGAATTTAACAATTGTCTAGTTTGACCACTATAAAAGTTCGGGAACACAATAATTAGATTGTCATCTAGTTTTGGCATTTTTGCTAGTTTTTCGTTCTTGCAAAAGTTCTATCGGAAAGAATTTATAAATTCTTCCTTTTTACTAGCTTCACCATACACTAATGAATATATAAATAACGGGAAGTGAGTTTTATTTTTTATGCAGGTGGCTCCCAGTGCGGGTTTGCACAGTTAAAATACTGATATTTGCCAGTCGACCTACTTCGAAAACACATTTCATCGCTTTTTTAAGGAATAGGTGTATTTTTCGTTGTCATCACGTTATGTCCACCTATATTTAATTATGGAACTGTTTTTAACTGACTAAGATCATACAGTTGTTGATATTTTCAATATTTTAGATTTAAGTGACTTCAATATGTTCACTCAAAGCCCTGAAACGACATAGACGAAATCTGCTTATTGTTTTTTCTTTTTTTGATGATAAGCGGTGAAAAGCATTCCGTTGTCTTTATAATCATTAGTGTATTGTCCATGGTATTACCATGAAAAATGTGAGGGTACACAGCAATGATTGCTTGGTTGTGATTCGTTGATGACCGTGTACATTAACAAGGTATTGCAGAGTTATTAGCCGATTACAGTTTTTTCTGAGTTTGACCGACTTTAGTCAATTTTTATGGTCAATTTTTATGGCCAAACCTTTAATACCCTCCAGCATTTGAACGAAACTTGTAAAGTGTAAAAAGAGTCTGTCGAAAAATTTAAAAATTTTGGAATATCATGTGTTACAGTTAGATGGTGCTATAAGAAAACGCGGACTCTAAATCAATTATATGCCAGAGCACTATGTCGCGAGTTCATATTAACGGTGGCCAAAAATAGAAGGAGTTGGCAAAAGTGAATGAGATTTGGTACAAGCACTTATTGTTAGCTTACAATATCGAGGACCAAATACGGAAATGATAGGTACACGTTTTTTCTATAGTCCTCATACCTCCCGATATTCGGTATTTTGCCGATTTAAGCGATAGTTTCTAATGGAACTATTTTTTTTTTCGTTGTTCCAAGTTTGTAAAAGATTTTACCACCTTTGGCAGAACATTATCTATATATAGATCCACGTTTTCCATAGTCCTCTTATAACGGTACCTAAGGATATTTATTATTTTGAAGATTTAAGCTATATTTTTTAACTGAAGTGTTTAAAATTTGATTGTTAATGTCCGCAATAGATACCGGCTACTGTAGCAAACAATTGTCTACATAGGTCCCCCATATAACGATAACTCCCGATATTCAATGTGGTAATATATACCAACCCCTGTAGCAGAAGTATGTCTATGTAGGTTCAAGTATTTCCTCTTTAACATTGCCGCTTTTATAATATTTGAAGATATAAAGTTTTTAACAAGTTCTCCAAATGAACTCTCAGGCATTTGCAGTATAAAATAAAGCTAGTTTGAATACTGAATCCATATTCTTTTATTTTTAAAGTTTTTCTTTTCTAGTTGAGATATGTAATTAAAAGTTCTGCCCGTCCAAACCTAACGTGTTGATACTTGATAATATTTTCGAACACAAAATAAATTGTTGTTATGGCTTCAGCCAAAGTCGATGATACAATTTTCTCAATTCTTCTGTGTCTAGTTCGACCTGAACTTTTCTTATGGGCAATATAGGCAACTTCTTAATGAAGAGTTTTTACCTTGATATGTTTTCTTTCAATTCACTTCAATAAAGCTGAACTACGAGGCAATTTGTTTAGACCATTTTTGGCCACGGTCGTCACACAGTGCATATTTGAGGTAATTCTGTTGAAAAATGCAGCTAAAATCAGCAAAATGCAGAGAAATGGGAGGTATGAGTGCTATATGAAAACGTGGATCTGCACAGGCAGGAAGTAGTAGCCATTGCGAAATACAAATTTGGAATAACTCTTTTGAAAAGTATAGCTTAAATCATCAAAATAACGAATATAGGGAGTTACCGTTATATGGGAGTTATACGAAGATGTGGACCTGTATAAGCAATACTCTGTCAGTGTAGGTAGTATCTATTACGAACTCCAAATTTGAAATAATTTTGGTGAAAAATATTACGCAATTTATCACAATACCGAATATTGAAGGTACTGTTATATGGGGGCTGTACCAGAAGTTGGATGTATATGAGCAGGTCTTTGCAAAGATATTTCCCCCATATAGGGGAGACAAACTGACAATTTACAGTAAACTATGTTAAAAACCAGTGAGCAAGGCTCAAATGTCGAGCGGGGACGACTATATGATACCCTATACCAGCTATGGGCAGCCTCGAACGAAAAAGTATAAACAAACCAACACAACAATCAGTTGTCGATGAGACACCGACGAATGAAGATGTGTGTGGCTGCACGCATTGCTACCGTTGATGCACTAAGCGAAACAATAGTTTCATTTGCATTTTTTTATTTCAGCTTAACTACATGCCAGAATGCTACAATCATATGTTATGGTTAAAAATGCTTTTGATAATATTCAAAGCATTTTATGTGGCAAAATAAAAAATATGACGTATTGAGACGTCATTTTAACATTTTTTTAAATGTGAATATTAATATTTTTATTAAGTGTTCCCTGCTTCAAAAGCCTTAAATCTTATGATATAAACAATGATATATATGGAGGCTATATCCAAATATTAGCTTAGATCTTCATAAAATTGAAAACAGCTATTTCTTGGCTGCATCTGATATCTGGTACCAAATATTATTCTTGTATCGTGCACCAAATTTGAAGTACTTATTTCTATACTAAATTCGGTCTGAAGTGCCAAAATTCACACCATTTGGACTGATAGTAGCCATTTGGTGCACAAGAAACCTAAAATCGGATGAAGATATACAGTGTCGGACAAAACATATTTGACAAAATTTAAATTTTCATTAAACTTCATAAACATATAAAATTAATCAGTTAGTTTAAAACCAAATATGCATTGAAATTCAAAACATAACTTTTATTCTTTAAATACAAATAGGATTTATTCTACATTTTATAAAAAATGAAACTTTTGTTATGAAAAAAACTAAAATATGTCAAAAATTCACGCGACAAAACATATTGAACCAAACAATGCAATCAATATTTTGTGGAAAATCCCTTGTTTTTGAGGACAGCTGCACATCTTCTGGACAGGGAAGCAATTAGGTTGTCTATCGTTGTTTTGTCTATAGCATTCCAAGCATCTACCAAGGCTTCAAAAAGTGTTTTCTTATCTCCTCCCACACCTTCTCTATTTATCTTTTTATTTACTATTTCCCATAAATTTTCAATCGGATTTAGGTCCGGAGATTGTGCTGGCCACTTCATTACTTGAATATCTTCTTTTTCAAACCAATCTCTTACATGTCTTGAGGTGTGTTTCGGATCATTGTCCTGCTGAAATTGCCATACCAGTGGCATATTCCATTCTGCATGAGGAAGCATAACACTTTGCAAGATTTCTTGGTACATGAATCTATCCATAATCCCATTTATTTTGTGTATGGGTCCTAGTCCATTTCCAGAAAAGGAACACCGGACCATCACATTATCTCCCCCGTGTTTTACTGTGCCTTGGCAATATCGTGGATCTAATCTCTTATTTATTGGTCTCCGTACTCTCTTCATTCCTTCAGAAAAAATTAAATTAAATTTTGATTCATCCGAAAATAAAACTGTTTTCCACTTCGGTATAGACCAACTGATGTGTTCTTCGGCAAATTTTATTCGAGCTTTTCTATTTTTTTCCGATATGAATGGCTTTTTTGCAGCCCGGTAACTTTTAAGTCCAGCAGCACATGCTCTTCTTATTCGGCTTATACTTAAGTTGAGAGTTTCTACCACACTCGTAGCTGATTTAGCCGGATATTTTTTGAAGTCCCTAACTATTCTTGCATCGTCTTTCGATGTTGTGGCCCATGGACGGCCACCGCAGTGAACAGTTTTATAATGAGCTGACGGTTGATTTCGATAAACCATACTTTTTGCAAATATCTTCTTGTGATAATCCTTGTCGAAAATCTTTAATTATTAATTCTTTGAGCTGCACGTTGTATTTATTTCGCGCCATTTTTACTTTAACTATAAAAATTAAAAAAAATTTCACTAATTATTTCGTAGAAAACCACCTTCAACTTTTGTAAAATATTAACCGACTAACAAGAGCTATTATTTCCGTCACATGTTCCAATATTCTTTTTTGTCCTATTATTCTATGCTATTAATTGTAACGGGACATTTGCAACGTTGTTTTGATAATATTTGCAATGGTCCAATTTGTTTTGTCGCGACCTTTTCAAGTAATTCGTGTTCATTTTGATGATAACAGTACGAAATCCAAAAAATATTTACCTTTTCGAAATATTTTTGCTAGCTAAAAACGTAACGAAGCATACATATTAATTTGAAACCAAATTACATGTTCCGTTTTTAAAATTGTGATCTCAAAGTGCAAAATACTAAAAATATAATTTCAGTTCAATATGTTTTGTCCGACACTGTATATGGGAGCTATATTCAAATCGGAACCTATCTTGATAAAATTTGAATCATGAATTGCTAGGCTGTATCTGATATCTGCTGCAAAATATCAGTTTCGTGGAGTGCATATTACGAATGTGAGGACTTAAACTCTATTTATGCCATGGAGAGAAAATGCTCGACATGTTGTGCCCTGTTTGATCAAACACATAACATTACGTGACATCCAACCAAATGCTCAATGTCTCGTAATGTCGGTCACACTCAAACCCATCGTCATAACATGTAATGACCAATAAAGGGGGATGTTGAATAGTGTGTCATACAAAAATGTTATATCAAAAAACAACAACAATTATGAAACAATTGCCAACGAAAAAGACACACACGTGATGAAGGCAAAGCGCAATCGCTACCTGTTTTTCCGATATATGAAAAAATAAATTTTTTGTAATAAAGTATTTCTTGGGATTACTTACATATTTCAGGTACTTCCAATTGGTTCACTCAAAATTTTCACATTTCGTGGTTATTGACGAAACAATCCAAACTATCAATCCTTATTAAAAAACAATAATCCCCTGACAATTTTTCTTAATAAAAACACGGTTTGGCTTTTCTTATTTTGGTTATAATTTCATACATTTTTGCTTCTAGTACTGAGGTGTAAATGAAAATGAGTGCTACTTTAATTAACCTAAACAATAAATTGGTATTGTACAGTATATTTCCCATTTTTTCTATTCATTTGTTGATGTCTATGCATATTTTGTTAATCATGTGCTTTCTATTTGTTATTGAATGAGAGTCAAATCTGCCCTCATATAATAATAATAAGAATATTTTTTAATTATTGGTTTGGTATTCAATTTTACATTTACGCGGTGTGTGTTACTTCAAAAGTACAGCACACACAAAAACACATCCTCACCGTCGAAAGTAACACACACACTCTCTCAATTTAAGCACACGTACACAAATGACACACAATTTGACGATGACACGGTTCAATGTCACCGTCGACACCCTTCATTTATGGAAAACACCATGCAAATATTCGAGTCAGCCATGCCACGATCGAACTTTAGACAATGGCACACATGAATCAGAATGGGGAATGTTGTTGGTTGTCATTGCCTCTCAAATACATAGCACATGATTGAGTAGACAAAGTCAGTGTGTCGAAAAAAGCATAATTCATACAATTCGTCTTGTGCTGGCCTTTATTAAACACCAAATCGGATGAAAAATATATATATAGGAGCTATAGCTATATCTGAACCGATTTTCACCAAAGCACATGCTTGTAGGCTGAATTCGGTCGGATGTAGAAAAATTCACACCATTTGGACTGATATTAGCCATTTGGTGCACAAAAAACCTAAAATCGGATGAAGATATATATGGGATCTACATCTAAATTTGGACCGATCTTCACCAATTTTAATAGTGTTCGTTCTTAAGCCAAACAAATGTTATTTAGAAAATTTCATCTCAATCGAATAATAAATGCGACCTGCATTTTGTTTACAAAAATACATGGACAGACGGAGGGACGGACATGCATAAATCGACTCAAAATGTGTTTCTATGCTGATCACCAAAAGGAACTATGCGTCTGTCTCAAAGTCCTTAACTTGTCGGTAGCCACCCACATAGCTCCTGTAGCCTGGAAAATGGGCAGGGTGGTCCCGCTACTGAAGCCTGTCGCCAGTAGCAAAGACTCTCGAGGACTTACTCCTCCCCAATATCAGAGGAAGCTATTCAGTTGCTAACCATCAACACGGTTTCCGTCCACTACATAGCACTACAACGGAATTGCACGCCATATCCACACATATCAGTCGAGGACTCAACCAGAACAGGCCGTGCCATAGAACAGTAGTGGTGGCTCTCGACCTATCAAAGGCCTTTGATACGGTCAACCATGCCACGCTGTTCGAGGACGTTGAGAAATACTACCCTCCCGCCAAGTTTGAAAGGTTGGATTGTCAACTATATGTGTGGACGCCAGTCGTACGTGGAATTCCGTACGTGGAATTCCAAGCCTCGTAGAGTGAAACAGGGAGTTTCCCAATGTGCGGTGATATCTCTGGAACTGTTTAACCTCTACCTTTCCGGAATTCCGCGCCCTCCAGACGGCATCGAGATCGTAACTTATGCGGATGACTGTACGATCATGGCGTCGGGTCCTGTAGTTGATGAATGTATCAGGGTGAATAACTATCTCGCGAAGCTTGCCGCCTTCTTCCATGCGAGGAATATTAAAATATCCGCCACTAAATCGACAGCCACACTATTTACCACATGGACTGCGGAGATGAGAACACAGCTGAATGTGCAGGTCGAGGGGCACATAATCCGACCACCAACTACCCCAAAATCCTTGGGGTCACATTCGATAGCATGTTCAAGACTTCCGCGCAAGCAACAGCTATTTGCGATAAAATGAAAAGTAGGAACAAGGTCCTCAAGGCGTTAACCGTCGGCTGCCTAGGTAAACCAGGGTAGTTTTTGACCAACTACGTTCAGGATGGTGGTCACAATTCGTATTGGGCACGAATTGGCGAAGATGTGCGCAACGCTGCCCAGCGTGCGATACAGGACCGCACAATACGCTGCACCTGTTTAATTGTCCAGCCAAACCTACCCAACTCCGTCCAGAGGATCTCTGGCTACAGCCCATAAAGGTATCAGAATTCCTCAACCTGGACATTGAGGAAGAACCGGATTAGCCAGAAAACAAACAACGGAGCATGTTAAAACTGCTACAACAACAACATGGGTCTATATCGTTTTTTCTCCATGTTACAAACAAATGCACATAGACATAATACCCTTACCACTATGTGGTGTAGGGTATAAAGACTAAAGACTTGACATATATTTCACATTTCCAATACCAATTGTATGGACCCAAAATTCATTTCAACAAAATTGTATCAAGCTACTTCATTTCTTTCGGAAGATAATTTCATAGATAGACGGACATAGCTAAATCGACATAGAATCTTATGCTGATCAAGAATATATATAATTGTGGGGTCTAAAATGCTTACTCCGAGGAGTAACACACGGAATGACAAACTTAATACACCCTTCATATACCTCCATAGAAAATCATGGGATACATAAATTGCAGAAAAGGATGAAATAATATATAAAAAACTAGCCGAAACCGGTGCGCGTCGCTATCCCTTTTGATTTTATATGCATTCAAAATTGTGTATACGTGTATTTTTTGGTTAAAAAATAAAACAAATTCAGGAATTTAAAAAACGAAATTATTGTAATACTTTAATGCATTAACAAATAAATAGCTCGGTCTGCCAACCCGTGAACATACCGGGAACAGCTGACCATGAGAAAAGCAGAACATATCAAACTAAGTCCGCATACACGAAGGGTTTGTCCTTCGGATTTATTAATTTCATTCAAATTAGTGAATTCGAGGTAGCAACATACTTTCCCGTAATAATCGTATCCTCAATTATAATGGTTGTGTAGTTTTTTACTGTCAGCCATTGCTTCTTAATAAACTCATATCCCAATCCGAAACGATTTCAATATAATTTGACAAAAAATTCCGTCACACATTCCATATTTCATTGAAATTGGAGGTACATACCGTGTTTGGTACATCAATCAATCAATGCATGTGAAATCGATATATGTGTAACCGCCACACATTCTGAATTTCATTGGAATCGGACATACATATGGTGTTCGGCGCATGAAATCGGCCGAAATATATATGTTTGGTATATCAAAAAAACGAAATCGGTCGAAAATATATATAGGGGCTATATCTAAATCCGTACCGATTTCAATATAATTTGGCAAATTTTTTTTTTTTTAACAAATTCAGTCACTCATTCCAAATTACATTGGAATCGAACATATTCGTCGTGTTTGGTGTATCAAATAATTGAACCGATGTTAATATGTTCGTTTTAAATTTCGTTACACATTCCAAATTTCATTGAAATTAGAGATACAGGGTGAGATGAAACCAGTAAAGAAAGTCTCAAAGTCGGGCGGGGCCGACTTTATGTTACCCTACATCACTTTGCTAATTTAGTAGAGCTCCACATAGCAATTAAAAGTTTTTATGGGAGAATTCAATCATACACGCTATGATTATAATTATAATTTAAAGTGCAAAGGACTAAATATGCCGAAGCTTTTGTATCTTTTAAATTCGGACTTGTATTGCCCATTTGGTGCACAATTAATTTGAAATCGGATAAAGATGCATATGGGAGCTATATCCAAATCTGAATCGATCTCGATAAAATTTGGCAAAGATATTTCTGAGTTGTATTTGATATATTTCCTGAATATCGTTGTTACGGAGTGCATATTACGGTAAATCGGGTGGACAATATATATCGATCTGAACCGATCTTCCCCAAATTTGACATACTAGCTTCTAGACTCAATTCGGTCGTAAGTGCCAAATCCCATCCCATTTGGGCAAATATTAGACGTTTGGTACACAATAAAAGGTAAATCGGACGAAATTATATATGGGAGCTATATCCAAATCTGAACCGATCTCGAAAAAATTTAGCAAATGTAGTTCGGAGCTGTATTTGATATATAAAAATAACAAATCAAATGAACAATATATATGGGAGCTATAGCTATATCTGAACCGATTATCTCAAATTTCAATAGGGCTTGTCCTTGGGCCAAACAAATGATTTGTGCAAAATTTCATCTGGATCGGGCAATAAATGTGAACTGTACTTTGTTTACAAAAATACATGGACCGACGGACGGACATGCATAAATCGACTCAGAATGTGATTCTATGTAGATCATCAAAAGGAACTATGGGTCTATCTCGTTTCCTTTTACCTGTTACAAACAAATGAACAAAGACAAACACATTGTGTTGTAACCAACTTGGGACTGCCGTAATTTCTAAGGCACTCGTCCGACAGCTGTTAAAATTGTTCCAGTGACAGCTCATTATATTGTTTACAAGCGTACAAAAGCATTTTGGTGAGAATTTTCCAGAAAAAAAATGATTCGTGATGGAATTCAAGCGTGATATTGTGATTTCTTTATATTTGGCTGGAAAACCACAAGTGGCTATCGTTAGAGCACTCCAGCAAATAAATGTGAATAAATCTTTTGTGTCTCAATCTTTAGTGTCTCGTACCATCGTGACCATCGTGGTAGCGTAGCCCAACGTCAAGGAAGTGGACGGAAGAAAACAGAAACATCCGCAGAAATGGTTCGATAAGTAAAGAAGCGACTTGATCGAAACCCGCGTCGCAGTGGCCGAAAAATGGCTCGTGAGCTGAACATATCGCAATATTCAATTCGGCAAATATTGAAAAATGAGGTCGGGGTATAACCATTGAAATTCCAAAAATTGCAAGAGCTTACATCGCAATAGAAAGAAAATAGACTCAAATGAGCTAAAGAGTTGCTTCGCTTGGCCGAAAGTGGTGAACTGTCGAATTTGGTTTTCTCCGATGAAACAAAAAACAAACAAAATGATCGTGTTTACTTGCCAAATAGGTCAGTTGAAAATGTGCACCTTCGGTTGTCCACCAGAACTCAAGCGCCGGCCATGGTGATGATGTGGGCCGCCATAAAAGCCGATGGTCTCTGCTGGTATTAATCGACCGTGGCATCAGAATAAATGCCGAATATTACCGCGAAAATATTCTGGAGGGTGTATTTAAGCCTAGGCCACGCAAACATTTTGGCCGCTGACCTTGGACATTCCAACAGGACTCAGCATCCGCCACCCAAGAATGGTTACAAAATGAGGTTCCTCGCTTCATTTCCAGCGAAACAATGGCCACCAAAATCGGCGGATACCAATCCGTTGGACTAGTGTGTCTGGAGTATTTGGGAAAGCAAGGTTGGCACTAAAAAATACCAAAGTGTCGATCACCTCAAGCAAGCGCTTCGGCGGGAATGGGCCAAAATACCCTAGAGCAACATTCGGGCAATGTGTGACGGTTTCATTGGCCGTTTGAAGGCCATAATTCGTGCCAAATGTGACCAATTCGAAAAAATCTAAACATATTCAAAAATTTCATGCTATTTGCGACATTTTTTTGCTTTCATTCAATAAAATGGAATTTATATAGTCTATGTTACTTTCAGGCTATGTTGTAGTATACTTGAAAATTTTTAGGAAAATCTGTTCAGCGGTTTTCGAGTCCAAAAATTCGAAACAAACATACAAACATTTTCCTCTTTTATAGATATAGAAGAACAAAAGATGAAAAATATGAAATAATTGTTGCATGTTATTCCAATAAGGAAGAGGGCAAGGCATCAATGTTTATTGTAATAGTATTTGCGAAATCTTCTTATTGTATCATGGTTCGTCGCTACTCAACATTCTTTGATACTAGACCTCTTTTTTCGATTGCGTTTATTCAATCTGCGTTATAAAAACAACGGCTACAAACTTAAACAATCTAGCCAAACTATAATGCAGAATAATAACAAAAATATTTCCAAATTTTAGGTGTCGCATAATACCTTACACAAATAAATAATATCTATATACTAATTGTATTTGCCTTAAACGCATCCTACCGTTTCTTCATTGTACCATGGCTAGTATGATTTTTCACACAAATCCCCAATATACTAAGAGATAAGAGAGTATACATACTATTATAGCATTATAAAACGGCTGAAAACTATGCTTGTTCTTACTTTTCTCTTAAATTGCATCTCCACAGTTTTATTTAAATTTAAAATCATATATATATATTTAATTAAAAAGAAGACGCAAATACCTTATGATCGTAGAGAATAAAACATTTCCGATCACTTATTATAGCATACACACCGATGTAGTTTGTGGCCAAACACACATATTTATCTCTCGGATACTCTTCTGTGTCACATAGTCTCCTTTTAAGAATCAGTATATTTTTGGACGCCATACGAACGGGAGGCATCTGTTGTCTTAATTTTAGTGGCGAATGCACAGATTTTTTTTCTCGACCAGGCAGAAAACATTTTGCATACGTTATGTCACATTGTAACGGGCGGTAAAAATGTCGGTTAACTTTCTCTTAGAGTTTGAAGAAATGTGAACCTATTCGTCAGTATGTCAAAATATGTGACGTAATTTTGACTTGTTGAAATAATAGCGACATTTCGAAGGTTTCGGGAATAAGCAAAAACTTTCTAGCTTATAAAAAGATCTATCTATTCATATATATACACACATACATATGTACATTCGCATGTGTCGATTGAATTGAGAAGTGCCCGAACATTTTGTTTACAAACAAAATAATTTAACTATATACATACTTTACGAGTTCGGATTGAGGAAAAGAAAACATTGTTTTAAAAAGAAAGAAATGGCTAAAAAGTGTCCGGTTCGATCGCTCAGCGACAGTGCTCTGGGAGAGTTGGCAAATCTCATTGTCTCGACACTGGGCTATGCGAAATATGGTCCCGATGTCGACATGGATATTAACATTGTAATGGTAGATATTAATGAATACCTGGAGCTGGCTGGGGCTACGTCCAATATATACCAGGACTTGCTGCGTGTAATCCTCAGTTCCAATTACTTGGATGCTAATATGCGGTTCACATGCCTACAAATGCTGCTCAATTGCGGAGTTTCGTTTTTAGTAACGGAAGTTTTTCCGCTGTCGTACTACGAAAAGATATTACAAGTTATAGCGGCCCAAGGCACGGGATTGCGGGTGCTAAACCTAAAGGGGGTGTGGGTCAAGGAGGAACACATGTTCTATATGTTTGACATAGTAAAGAAGTGTAAATATCTCACCAAACTATATGTGCCCTTTATAGCGAACGACGATTTGCTAGAGGTGATTTCCAAGCACTGCAGCCACTTACAAGTTTTGGATATATCGGGCGAGACCGATATTACCGAAATAGGAATAGAAAGCTTGAGTAAGGGCGTATGTGCAGATCGTCTGACCATAATCGACGTTGGTATGATGGGTGAGGAAAATATTTGTTATTCAGATATTGCGCTTATTTTGGAGCATTGCCCGAATGTGGAGACGCTTTCGACGTATTCGTTTGTTGGGCCGTCATTGAAGTTTGTCCACGACAACGTCGACGAGAACTTCCAGTGCAAATTAAAATACCTTCATGACACTTCCACAGATGAGGAAACGTTGCGCGTTATTGTCAAGACATGTCCACAATTGCAGTCATTGTATCTGGATACGCCGAAATCGGGTTGTCTAATTGCCCTCTCTAATACATTCTTGCGTAAGCTCAAAATCTATAAATTCTCATGCTCAGAATTAATGGAGCTATTGGAAACTACTGGCCGATATTTGGACCACCTTACAATGATCAAGGGTAATGGCGAAATCGAATTGGGAGTTTTGGCTAAAATGTGTCCAGGTCTGATTGACTTGGATTGCTACATGATGGAAGGTCTCTCCTACTTTAGTCCAAAACAGCATCGTTTTAGTCGCCTAGAGGGATTGGAAATGCTAAGTAGTCCGATCGCCAATACGGCCCTTAAATCTCTGATTTGCAATACGACCCAACTAAAAAGACTGGCAGTAGACAGCGTCTCGTTGACCGATGAAGACGTTGTAAGGTACGATTTGTATTTCCTCCCATGAATCAAAATAAATTGTATATTTTAATAGCATATTTATACAGCATCATTTCTATGCACTTGAGGATGTCTGGTTTACTCTGGCACCGAACTTAACAATCCAATCAATACAGGTAATTACAGCACAGTTAATTTGACAGATTCTAGTCGATAAAGCGAATTACAATGAAGTTATAGATCATGCATCGTGAATAATATCTCCTAGGTAAACAATACAGGCAATTATTTTAAATTGGAGCTGTCTTTCTGGATATTTTATTCCAAAAAACTGTTGACAATATTGACTCTTTTGAATGGGGCTTTAAAGTGTGGAGTGCATTTTGCAATTCTTTATCAAAAATTTGACAAAAAATTGACGTGTGTATATGCCATTGTAAAGAGCTCCCAAATTAAATATGATAGAAAATACTTTATTTCACTATCTTTCCCAGAGTATATGTAAGATACATTGGGTGGGCATTCCTTCCAAAGCGAAATCTGGAAAAATGTTCTGCCACTATCTGCAAACAAGTATATATTTTAAGTAATTGTAAATAAGACATTGAGCCAAATCTTTATGTATTATACTAGCAAGTGTCCGCTACTTAGTTAGTGAACATTCTACATAAATAGAGTTAGTTTTACCAATATCCACAATTCCTCTATCTTTAAAGCGCTCCCACAAGGTACTTTCCATTAATTTTGCAAATTTTTGTTTTATTTTATTTTTCAAAACAAAAAATACAAAAAGAAAATTAACAGAAATCGGTCACACTCTGCAAAAAAATGTATCAGCCGATAGTTCTGCCATACCATGGATTTACCCCAAATATCTATATTTGGTATATTTTAGTTATTTTCGTACACTTTCAATACCAATTTCCACTTTGTACATATTTTTAAAATTGTACGAAAATATACTAAATATCGTGTGTATGGTGTAAAGTAATCCGAAAGAGCTTTGGGTTAAATTCATGGTACAAAATAATAATAATTTGGGCATACATGGGTTCGGAAATGGCTATGTTTTATACGATTTCACATTTAAGTCGCCGACATCCGTAACAAGCACTCTATAACAATGATATGCGGACATGGTCATGGTAGAATAATACAGGTAACAGCAAGTGTTGTTGTACAACAAACGTAGCAACAACCACATACAAAATTTGTTTTTGTACGTAATACAAGTGTCATAGTTCTATGTTCAATAATGTAAACAAAATAATTATTTTTATACCCTACACCACAAGGTGGTCAGGGTATTATGTCTTTGTGCATTTGTTTGTAACAGGCAAAAGGAAACGAGATAGACCCATAGTTCCTTTTGATGATCTGCATAGAATCACATTTTGAGTCGATTTATGCATGTCCGTCCGTCCGTCCGTCTGTCCATGTATTTTTGTAAACAAAGTACGGTTCGAATTTATTGCCCGATCCAGATGAAATTTTGCACAAATCATTTGTTTGGCCCAAGGACGAACCCCATTGGAGAAATTGGAGATAATCGGTCAAAATTTAGATATAGTTCCCATATATATCTTCGACCGATTTGGCTTTTATTGTGCACCAAATGCGTAATATCTGCCCGAATAGTATGGAATTTTGCACATACAACCAAATTAGACCTGAAAATAAGTAGGCCAAATTTGATCGAAATCGGTTCAGATAAAGCTATAGCTCCCATATATATATTGTTCATCCGATTTGTTATTTTAGTCCTCCGCAGCCTTAATATGCACTCTGTAACAACAATATTTGGGGAGATATATCAAATGCAGCTCAGACATACCTTTGCAAAATTTTATCGAGATCGGTTCCGATTTGGATATAGCTCCCACATATAACTTCGTCCGATTTACATTTTATTGTGCATCAAACGTTTAATGTTTACCCAAATGGGATGAAATTTGGCACATACGACCGAATTGAGTCTAGAAGTAAGTATGCCAAATTTGGTGAAGATCGGTTACCCACAGACGTAATATGCACTCCGTAACAACGATATTCAGGAAAATATATCAAATACAACTCAGAAATATCTTTGCCAAATTTTATCGAGATCGGTTCAGATTTGGATGTAGCTCCCATATATATTTTTATCTGATTTCAAATTAATTTTGCACCAAATAGGCAATACAAGTCCGAATTTAAAAGATACAAATGCTTTGGCATATTCCTTTGGCAAGTCCTTTGAACTTTAAATTATAATTATAATCATAGCGTGTATGATTGAATTCTCCCATAAAAACTTATAATTGTTATGTGGAGCTCTACTAAATTAGTAAAGTGGTGTAGGGTATTATAAAGTCGGCCCCGCCCGACATTAGGACTTTTTTTACTGGTTAATTAATTATTCATGGTAGAACTGAGAATGTAATGTCATGTAATCGTATGTTTACCATTTTTATACCCTCCACCATACATAGTATGGAGGGTATATTAAGTTCGTCACTCCGTTTGTAACTCATCGAAATAATTATTTTAGACCCAACAAAGTATATATATTCTTGATCAGCGTCTGTCCGTCTGTTGTAATCACGTTACAGTCTAAACGAATTAAGATAGGAAGCTAAAATTTTGCACAGATCTCTCTTTTGTCTGCAGGCAGGTTAAGTTCGAAGATGGGCTATATCGGTCCACGATATCGTATAGCTCCCATATAACGGTACCCCCGATATTCGGTATTTTTATGATGTTAGCCACATTTTTTAATGGAATTGTCTGAAAATCTACACAAGTAGTTCCTTGTGAGCATTTAACCCCCTGAAAAAAGAATTGTCTATATAGGTCCACGATATCGTATATCCCCCATATAACTGTACCCCCCGGTATTCGGTATTTTGATGATGTTAGACACATTTTTCAACGGAATTGTCTTAAAATCCACACAAGGAGTTCCTTGTGGGTACTTTATACCTCGGAAGAGAATTATCTATATAGGTCCACGATATCGTATAGCCCCCATATAATGGTACCCGCAATATTCCGTATTTTGATGATTTTAGCCACATTTTTCAACGGAATGGTCCGGAAATTGTACACAAGGGGTTCTTTGTGAGCACTTTACCCCCCGACAGAGAATTCTCTATATGGGGTAACGATATCGTATAGCACCCATATAACGGTACCCCCGATATTCGGTATTTTGATGATGTTAGTCACATTTTTCAATGGAATTGTCTTAAAATCCACACAAGTAGTTCCTTGTGAGTACTTTACTCTCTGAGAGAGAATTGTCTATATAGTTCCACAATATCGTATATCCCCCCTATATTCGGTATTTTGATGATTTTAGCCACTTTTTCCAATGGAATTATCTGAAAATCCACACAAAGAGTTCCTTGAGTACTTTACACCCAGACATGGATTTGTCTTTACAGGTCCACAATATCGTATATCCCCCCATATATCGGCACCTTCCTATATTAGATATTTTAAAGATTTTAAAAGAATTTTTAATGGATTTATTTATTTATTTATTTTTTTTTAAATTTTATTTTTTTCTAATTCGTTCCAAATGGTGGAGGGTATTTAAAGTTCGACCCGGCCGAACTTACTGCTTTTTTACATGTTTTTTTTTTTTCAAATTTATATATTTGACAACATATCATTGTCAAAATCTATATTCATAAATCCATTGTTTACACACAAAATCAGAGATGGGAACTATTTTTTATGCCTTCAAATTTGACAAATAAATTACAGAAATGCAGCAATGCTGGGAATGCTAATTTGAAACGAGGTACCTTTTTTTCATTGTACCAAGTTAAATATTTTAATTTCAAAAATTTTAATTTTTAGAATAGTTCTTAAAATATTAATTTTAATGCTTTCACATCATTCCTCTGAATGTATAGTTCTTTGCTGTAGGTCCAAATCTCTCAACGATTCAAACAATCGCTAGAAAATAGTGGGAAAAGCAACACCCCTTTCATATTGAAACATAATTAAAGTATTCTACATTTTGCAATTTTAGGAAACATGAAATATACGACTATTTTACCCAATGTGGTGTCGCCGTTCCTTAACCGCAAAAAAAGGTTTTCGCACCATCGCCGTTGGTGTTTTGTTAAGTATAACAGCAAAAAATATGTTCACATTGCCCTTAGATTTTGTATGCACATATCTATTGATCAGTTATAGATACAGTTTTCAAATTTGGAATATTTTCGTCCGATTTCATGTACTTGATGCACCAAACACGCTGTGTGTGTCAAATTTCAATGAAATTTGGAATGTGTGATAGAATTTGCTCTGAAAAATAATTAGTCAAATTATGTTGAAATCAGTTGAGATTTGGATAGATCTCCCATCTCCGATTTCAAATATTTGACGCACCAAACACGGTATGTATGACCGATTCAAATGAAATTTGAAATGTGTAATGGAATTTGGTAAAAAAAAATAAATTTGTCAAATTGTATTAAAATCCATTCAGATTTGAATTTAGCTCCCATATATTTTTTCGGCCGACTTTTTGTATTTTATGCACAAAACACTATATGTCTTTCACATTCCAATGAAATTTGGACTGAGTTACAGAGTTATATAGAAATTGGTTTAGGTTTGGATGTAGATCGCAAATATAAATTCGGTCGATTTCATTTATTTGATGCACTAGATACGCTATATATCTCCAATTTCAATGAAGTTTAGAATGTGTGACGGAATTGGGTCTATAAAAAATATGTCAAATTATATTGAAATCGGTTCAGATTTGGATATTTTTTTACTAAGAAATATAGACCCATGGCAAAATTACAGAAGGTAGAACAAAGCTACATCCTAAATACAATTTTTTTCTTTTGGTTACACATTATATGTGTGTATTGTTTTGAACAAAAAATACAAAAATTTCAAATTATTTCAAATTCGGTTGGAAAAGTAAATGTATATTTTCGACCTTAATAGGCAACACATTGTACAATTGTACAATAGGCAACACATTAACAATTCTGTTAAAAGCTTTAAAATAACTAATATCAGAAGGTGCCGATATATGGGTGGATATACGATATTGTGGACCTATATAGACAATTCCCTTTCATGGGGCAAAGTGCTCACAAAGAACTACTTGTGTAGAATTTCAGACAATTCTGAATTACAGAGTTATATAGAAATTGGTTTAGGT